TAAATCTTCACCCAAATCCTAATAAAAAAAAAAAATCATCTCTATGAGACCAAATGATCAAAAATTAAAGCAAAGGTGAAAAGGTAGCGGGGCACAGAAACTAGATTATTGGCAGCAGAACCACCTGAATGGCAATAATGAGAATGTTGACACTGTGAAAAATGTAACCAATGTCTCTGAACAATGTGTGCAGAAATTGTTAAATGGAAAAAAAAAAAAAAAGGTATTGATATAGAGTCACAAATACTAATTACCACAATATTGTAGCTAAAACACTAGAAGATTTGACATAATCAGTGACTATAAAAACACTGGCAGAATGGTCACAGGGGACATCAAGTTCAACTTGTATAATACAATGCACAAAAACATTGTTATACATCCTACTTTGGTGAGTAATGACTGGGATCTTAAAAGCTTGTGAGTTACCATCTTAGATGTGACTATTAGTCTCTCCTCATCTGGAGCAAAGAGTGAAGAACATCAAAGACACATGGAAACAATTAGTCCAAAGGACCAGTGAACCATGGGAATCTCAGCCTACATGATCCTGAGACCAGAAGAATTAGATGGTATCTGGCTACCAATGCCAACCACTCAGAAAGGAATCAAAATTGGAGATCCTGGATAGAGTGGGAGGAAAAGTGTGGGACAAAATTCAAAAACATAAAAAAGACTAGGATTACTGGTTGGATAGAGACTGATGAAACCCTTTAACCTATGATTCTGAGTCACACTTCGTGCCTGGAATTGTACTCACTCCCATGGCTTAACTCTCAGCCAAACAACAGACAGAACTACAAACTGAACAACTATACCAGGGAGATGCACTCTTTAAAACAATCAACCATGGGAGTTCAGAAGGGCAGAATTTGCACAGGGAAAAGGCTAGGGAGGCAGGAATGTATACACAAAAAGGACACAGGGAAGAGGTAATGACAGGAAGGAGGTGGGAGGAGAGCAGTTACACGGGGGGACTGTAATCAGTGTCACAAAACAAAATGTATATGAACTCCTGAATGTGAAACAAATCTGTTTTGTAAAATTGCCTCCAAATCACAATAAAGTTAAACAACAACAACAACAAAATGGAAGCAATGAACAACAGTGTGCTTTTAGTATGTGCAGACGAAACCACATGATTCAAAGTCACTGTAATTGGGTAATACTGACATTTCTGATCATAGTGTATTAGAAGGTTCAAAAAGTAAGTTAGCTTGTGCATGTACAATACTGCATTATCAATAAAGCAAACATTAATCTATGGGTAGATACATAGGTAGATAGGCTGAATGATCAGGTATGTTTAGGAAAAAGGAAATATACCCATGACCATATATAAGTTTGGCAGACACTACTTTTACATATG